GGTAAGCAAAGCCCCTGTCTTTGTCGTCGGGGGACGGGGTTGGAGCATTGCTGAGGGGCCGAGATCCGGGGAAACGCCTGTGTGGCCGTTTCCAAACGTGGCCTCCGTCCGAGCCGCAGATGCCGTGTCACACCTGGCCTTCCTCTCCTGCTTGTGAGACGTGAATCTCAGAGCCGCATGCAGGGCGCACTCCAGAGACTAAGGCTCTGGGTGCCGAGACGGGCCAGCGTCCCTGACTTGTTCCCAGATCCTGCTGCCCGTGTCCAGCAGGTAGGGCTCCCCCCGCCAGGCCCGCCCTCTGTCTCACCTTTTCATTTTCTGCCTGGTTGGCAGGAGCACCGGGTAGCTGGCTGGGGGCCAGCCTGCTCTGTTGCCTTCCGGCTGGTCTCCGGGTTCAGGGTGCCCTGCCCTCTCGGGAGTCTCAGGGTTGCATCGTGCCAGGAACGGGAAACCTCAGAGGGTCCCCGGTTATGGCTCTTGGGGTCTGGCGGAGTTTCATCTTAAGGCTTTTGACTCTCAGAGGGCGGCTTTATCTTTGGGTCCCGAGCCAAAGGAGGATGGGGCAGCCCCTGCTGGTGCTGTCCCACCCATAAGGCCTGGAGGTGGACCCCGGGGACGGCAGGGAGCAGAGGCCAGGCGGCCGGACTGCAGGGGACACACCTCACCTCACCCTTTGCTTTTCTTTTGTTCCCACCGACAGTCTCGGCAACTGCGTTTTATAAGGCACAGCCGGTAATCGAGTTTGTTTGTGAAGTTTTGGATTTTAAAAGTATTGAAGAACAACAGAAACCTCTGACAGATTCCCAAAGGGTCAAGTTTACCAAAGAAATCAAAGGTGGGTCCCTGCCTTGTGCGTGTGGCCCCGACTCTCCCCCCTCACTGCCCTTCCTGAGCTCCTAGTGGAGAGGAGGAGGCGAGCGTGGTCAGCTGTCCGGTGAATTACCACAGAGATGAGCCAAGCCCATGTCACAGCTCGGGAACAGTGATGTTCTGAGTAAATGGCTTTCCTCTTAGGCGAGAGGCGCGGGTCAGTGACTGGTGGCCTGCACGTCCCTGGACTCCAGGACCAGAGAGCCCGTAGCTCACGCTGTCCTGGAACGGGGTGCATGCTTCCGTGCCTTGTTGTCATGTGGCTTTACACCCCTGGCAGCATCTGTCCCCACCCCGCCAGCTTACCCCTCAGGGAAACACGGCCTGAGTGTGGTGGCCTGGCTCAGGCTCCTCTGGCCGGCTGGCACCTGTTGCCTACGCCCCTCCACACCTGTCCTCAGAGGGCTTTCGAAAGGCCGTCAGAAGTACCCATTGCTAAAAATAATCCTGGAGAAAGCACAAAGTCTCTCTGAGGCAACGTAGTGACTTTTATCTTTAAGAACAGTGGCCAGCCGCTGGCCTTGGCATTTCTGGGGCAGAAGGTGGCCCTGGGGTGCAACGGGCCCCGCGCAGAGGTCCTCCCCTTGGGGCCGATGTGGCCGAGCAGCTGCCCCAGAGCACCCTCCCCTCCTTGGGTCTGTAGGCGTGGCTCCCAGGACAGCTGGCGCTGGGGGGGGGGGGGTGCTCCGGGCTGGGGCGGGTCTTGACTCTGAGTCCGGGCTGCTCTGTGTCCCCAGGTCTAAAGGTGGAGATAACGCACTGTGGGCAGATGAAGAGGAAGTACCGTGTCTGCAACGTGACCCGCCGGCCCGCCAGCCACCAAACGTAAACGGCCTTCCCTTCCCCCCAGATCAGCTCTCATGGTTGCTCTGGTGTGCAGACTCCAGAGGAGGGGCCCTTCTGGAAAGACTCATTTCATTCTAGTTCAGAATTTTGGAACTGCACGTTCAGCTCAGCGGAGCCGGACGTTACCTGAGGAAACCCAAGTCACACAGTTGCTCTGCTCAGGGCGGGACGGGGTGGCGGCTCCCTGTGGATTTTCCCTCCTGAGCTCTGCAGGCGAAAGAGGGTTGTTTGGTTTGTTTTCTAATCCTCGGTGCTGGGCAGGAGCAGGGATCGGTGGGCACCCCCCGCCCCGGCCTGGCCAGTGCTGGGACGTCTGTCTCGTGCCGTGTGCTCCAGTCCGAGGTTGGCTGGGACGTGCGCAGGCCATTGGGGGGGGGGGGGGCTCGTCTGTCCTCAGTGCCTCACGCATACTATAGAGCTCTGTGATCTGTGATTATCACATGTTATAGGTGTGGAAGTATTTTTTATTTCCCAACTCCAGAGATGATATGAAAGTTTAAGAACTACACGTCTAAAGGGCGTGATTGGTTTTGACCCCTGGAAGGTGCTCGGGACATTTGCCCCCCTCCCAAACCCTCATCCCCCTTCTTCAGCCCTCGGCAAGCAGACTGGGGGAGCCGCCTCCCACAGGGTCCGCTGCCTGAGCCCCTTCCTGGCTTCCCTAGGTTCCCGCTGCAGCAGGAGAGCGGGCAGACGGTGGAGTGCACGGTGGCTCAGTACTTCAAGGACAGGCACAAGCTGGTCCTGCGTTACCCGCACCTTCCATGTTTACAAGTCGGACAGGAGCAGAAACACACCTACCTTCCCCTCGAGGCAAGTCCCATCTCCTGTCCACCTGCTCTGGGGCTGGTAGGAGAGCCGGGGGCCTCCAGCCAGGGACGCCCCTTGCGCCTGCCTCCCCGTGAATGACACGGTGAGGAGACTCCCGCGGGGTTCCTGGGCCGATAGAGGACGTGCCCGTTGTGCCCAGCAGGCCCCTTGCACAGGCTGGAAGGTTTTCAGAAAAGCTGCCATTTCTTCACTTGGAAAAGTCCTGGCCCGGAGGAAGACTAAATGCTAAAACGGACCCAAATTTTAACTCTTTCTGTTAGTGTCTTGAGTTCTCTGGACTCGTCCAGTTACCCCAGTGTCCAGTCGGTCTTCCTGGGCCCCAGTGCAGAAGCCCAGCCTCCTCCCCATCAGCGCGCAGCTTCCTGCTCTCACGTCATGAGGCTCCCAGCGCACGGGGAGCCAGGCTCCCCCAGGAGACCCCTGCTGCTGACCGCGGGCCCCCGAGCAGCCCCTGGTCCTGGAGGATTGCCGGGTCAGTCGCCACGGTGTCTGCGTGGTGCCCTGTGTGGCTAAGAGATGGGCATGTTCCAGGCCGAGCCAGGGCGCCGCGCTCAGCCGCAGACCCCAGCCTGTCCCCAGCACCGGGCCAGCGCCGTGTCTGTCCCTTCTTCGTAGGTCTGTAACATAGTGGCAGGACAGAGATGTATCAAAAAACTGACGGACAATCAGACCTCAACCATGATCAGAGCGACTGCCCGGTCAGCACCAGATCGTCAAGAAGAGATCAGCAAGCTGGTGAGAGTCGCGCTGCTGCGGCCGGCCTGGGGGCGGGGACTCCGTGGGAACTGTGCTATGGGGTGTGGGGGAGGGGAGCCCCTGATGTTTGGGATAGAGACAGCTTACTTCTTTTTTCCTTTTCAAGATGCGAAGTGCAAGTTTTAATACAGATCCGTATGTTCGTGAATTTGGAATCATGGTCAAGGACGAGATGACAGATGTGACCGGGCGGGTCCTCCAGCCGCCCTCCATCCTCTACGGGGGCAGGGTACGTCGAGGGCGAGGCTGAGAGACGTGCGTGGGTGTATGCGCGCTGTGTCTGCCAGTGGTGGTGGAGCAGCAGCTTTGGACCCCCATGGGGCAGCACTGTTGCCAGAGGTGTGGACCGGGCAGGGTACAGAGTTCTTGCCGTGCTCACCCAAGCCAGCATGTGGGCCCCAGTAAGGACTGAGCCGCTCTGCCCTTCCTGAAGATCGTCAGAATTGCCCTTTGTCTTTTCAAAAGGTGACTTTTATTATCCCATTAAAATCTGGAAAGCATTGTTCTTGGACACTCTGCACTGATGAATTATTTTCCAGAAACTTCTACTTTTTTTCTGGTGGGTTTTTTTATTTGTTTTATTTTTTGACTTTGGTGTTGGAGGTATTTGGTGATAAACAGTTGTTAGTCATTCAAGTTTTTGTTTTTGCCCATGTGATGCCTGGCCTCGTCGGCACATCATAACGCAGTCCTGGCTGTCGAGCACTGCGGAGCTCGTGGGAAGGGTTCGTGCACTCCGTCGGGCCAGGCCTCAGGTGCGGAGCACAGCTCTACGGGGCAGACGGCGGGGCCCGGGGCCTTGGCCTCACTCACCTGCGAGCTGTGACCCTGCCTCTTGCCCTAGTCCTCGGGACCTGTAGCAAGGCCCGGTTTTGTTTGTGGGGTTTTCCCTTTCTTATTATAAAACATAAGTTCTGCTCTTTAGAATGTTCCGAAGTTCAAAGGGTAAAACAATTAAAGGGAGGGTGGCGCTTGGCCGCTCAGCGGGAAGAGCCTGCAGGTCTTGATCCCAGGGTCATGGCTTTGACTCCCACATTGAGTGTGGAGCCTGCCTACCAAACAGCACAGCAGAACAAGGCATTACAGGAAGAAGACAGTTTCCCCAGGTCTCACGGGCTCTCCCAGGAAGCGACTGGTGTTTGCTGTATCCTTTGTAAGCTGCCCAGGGACTATTCGTGTGTTTCCATCCCTTCCAGTGCGAACAGTAACATTAAGTGTGCTTCTTTTTACTTGAAACTTTCTCTTGGAGCCCACAGAGGTCTTGGAGTTGGTTCCGTGTCTCTGTGACACGTGGCTTGTTTGTTTGGGCTCTGGATGGTTCTCTGTTGGGGGTCCCTGTCCTTTGAGGACGGCCTCTGAGGAAGGCTTCCCAGCTTTCTCAGCTCCCTTGCGCGTCTGCTGCGTGCAGATGCGGACGCCGTGCAGACACGGCCCCTTTTGAGCCCTTCTTAAAGCCCTCAGAGGGCCCTGCCCCAGCCAGTGGAGAGACGGCTGGAAATAGAGGTTTTTGTGGCCCGTGGGTGGTCAACCAAGATCGCAAATCCAGTATTTTTGTTTTTGTTTTTTTCACGGCCCCTGCTTCTGTCTGACTTTCTGACTCAGTAAATGCAGGAATAGTTTGGAAAACAAAGTAGCTCTTGTAAACTAATCTTGCAAAACTATTAGAATTGTAGGGATTGAAAGTTTATCCTGCTTCTAAATGAACACATTTTTCCAGATCTCTGAAACATTTCAGTGAGAACACACATTCTTCTTCATCTACCCTACTCGTCCATTGTCGGAGCGAAATGTCAAAAGCCCCCCAGGGAACATTTAGCGATGTCTGGAGGCTGGTCCCCAGTGACAACAACTGCTGACGTCCTACAGCACACAGGACCGTCCACACGTCAGCAGGGCTGAGGCTGAAACACATGTGTGTCGTGAGAGCCCATGTCTGCTTAAGCCGTGTGTGCTCGCACGTGTGCGTGTGGAGTCTGGAGTACCAGACTGGTGGCAGGCCGTCTCTTACAGAGGGCTTTCTCTAGTGCAATGGGCATATAGTTATAAAAATACAGGAAAGAAAAGAGGTTCCTCTGGTGGCAGTGCCGAGGCCTGGTCCTTTCTGTTTCAGAGAGGACAAGCTCCAGTGGGTATGTCCCTCGCTCTGTCTCTACAAGTCGGAGTAGCTTCCATTCCTTAAACCGGGCAGGCATGGCACGAGGAGTAGAGGGGTCCTCCCCAGCCCACCTGCTCCCTGGCATCTTGACTTCCTTCCCCTCCTTGGCTACTGGTGTGATGACGGGTGGAGTAAGTGAGAGCATGTTCTGAACCAGGAAGCCCTCCTGTGGCATCTCGAGGCCCTTCCATTCCTCGGGGCTGCCCATGAACTTCGGTGGGATTCTGGGCCTCTCTGCTCCCTGTGGCCTGTATCCACCCCTCCCTTCATTGGTCCGTCCATCTTCCATCTGCCCTTCCCTCCGTCCGTCCTTCATGCTCCCTCTGTTCACCCATCCCTCCTTCCATCCCTCCTCTCTCTACCCCGTCCATCCCTCCTGCCATCCATCCTTCCACCCCCGTCTCCCGTCCAGCTCTTCGTCTGTCCGTCCATCCGTCCTACAGACATTCTGGCCCACGTGCTCTGCGGGGCAGGTCAGAGACGGGAGACCACACAGAGGCTCAGTTCTCAGCTTCGGGAGCACCATCGGACCAGGGGGCCAGCGGACAATAGGGAAAGTAACACAATCCAAGGTCAGAGGGATGTCTTTCCCGTTTCTCCTCACTCTAAACTTCTTGCCATTTGCAGAATAAAGCGATCGCCACCCCCGTCCAGGGCGTGTGGGACATGCGGAACAAGCAGTTTCACACGGGCATCGAGATCAAGGTGTGGGCCATCGCCTGCTTCGCCCCCCAGCGCCAGTGCACGGAAGTCCACCTTAAGTAAGGCCGCGGGAGGGGCGGGCGCACCTGACCTGGGCGGGGCCGCTGGGGGCGGGGCCGCTGGGGCGGGGCAGCGGGCTTGGTGATGATGGCCAGGTTCGGTCCTCAGCCTTTCCCTGGCAGAGGACACTTGCCCAGGATGTGGGGGCCACCTCAAGGCTGCTATTCCTTCCCAGACTTACTGGTGGAGGGAGCGTGAAGCAGTAGTACAGATTATGTAAGAAACAAAGCAATAAATGAATAAACTTGAAAATTAGATGCAAAAGAGAAAATTATATTCAGTGAAGTTGTTACTTGGGAAAATAAACCATAAAAACAAAAAACTTGGGAAAAAAATTGTCCCTACTTGGTCCAGGTGTTGGACCCTTTGAAAGTAGCACCAGGAGGGCGCCTGGGTGGCTCAGTGGATTAAGCCGCTGCCTTTGGCTCAGGTCATGATCTCAGGGTCCTGGGATCGAGTCCCACATGGGGCTCTCTGCTCAGCGGGGAGCCTGCTTCCCTCTCTCTCTCTGCCTGCCTCTCTGTCTACTTGTGATCTCTCTCTGTCAAATAAATAAATAAAATCTTTAAAAAAAAAAAAAAAAAGAAAGTAGCACCAGGAACGTGCAGCTTCGCCGCTCCCACTTTCGTGCCAAACAGACCTGACGGCGGAGAGAAAGCTTGAGCTTCCCGCTTGCCTCGGTGGAAGCAGGAGGGAACCCCACGCCCGCGGCGCGCACGTAGCTGCTGCACATCCTGGCAGAGGCCGGCTCGGACAGTCCCGAGCGCGGAGTCCGGGGCCGAGAGCTGGCTGTACTGCATGGGGCCAGCGGAGCGAGCGGGAAGCACAGAGCAGACTAGGAAACAAATCGGTTGGGTGTGGCCCCGGGCGTCTCTCTCCACTGTGTTCTGGCTCCTCTGTGCTCGAGGGCATGGTGTGAAGGCCCCCACGGTGCACGGCTTCAGTGCACCACTAAGTGCACTGAAGTCCAGGAGGCTGAACCCTGCCCCCTCCCCCGGGGCCGAGTGTCCACACCACACTGTAGAAGGCGATGTTATTTTTATTCCGAAGTTTAAAATAGACACTGTTGATCGGTCTGAGCCCCTCCCCCACCGTGGCTTCTCCAGGCCCTCTGACGGCAGCTGCTGGTGTTCCTCTCGCTGTGGTTGGTCCCATTCTCCCCATGGCGGTGTCACCCAAGTCCACGTTGTACACCCAAGATCAATGGGGGCACGTCCGGGGGGATGGTGCGTTCACAGCTGTCCTCCCCATGGCGGTGTCTGGTGTTTCCAGAGCCCTGGGTTCTGTACCAGCACCGGACACTGGTCAGGCCTGCTGCATGGGCGGCCCCTGCTCGGAAAGGACAGCACTGTCCCCACACCTGCGAGTGGGTTCGCAGGAACTGCTGTGTCTGCACATACCTTCTCCTTGAGTTGATGTGTTGTCACGGTTTCGTCCAGGTCTTAAACTTGGACGGGGATGTCAACATACAGGGTTTGGGGTTGGGCCGTTAAAGCCAGGCCCTTCCTTGGGGCCTCTGGCTGGTGTGGAGCCTTGGGCACTTGACGTGCATTCGCGTCTACTGGCCTTTCTCCTTCAGGTCCTTCACAGAGCAGCTCAGAAAGATCTCGAGGGACGCTGGAATGCCCATCCAGGGCCAGCCGTGCTTCTGCAAATACGCCCAGGGGGCGGATAGCGTGGAGCCCATGTTCAGGCATCTGAAGAACACATATGCCGGCCTGCAGCTGGTGGTGGTCATCCTGCCGGGCAAGACCCCCGTGTACGGTAGGCCCCCTGCTCTTGTGGTCCCTGTGGCCCCTGCCTTCATGACCCTGGGGGGGCTGGGCGCGGCCTGAGCCCTGGGTGTGTGTGCCACACTGGGGAGTGCTCGTGCCTGGCCATCGCTCCCACATCCGCGCCGAGGCCACCCTCCCTGGAGGCCGGCACCTACAGTTAGCTTGTCATGCCCATTTGGTGCCCGCACAGGGATTGCAGGGGCCACCGTCTCCATGCCCGCCTCAGAGCTCGCTGGAAGTTCATCAGACTTCATGCCAGAACAGCAGTCATTTAGCTAACACTTAGCAAGCGCCCCACGGTGCTGTCCCAGGCCTGGCAGGTTCAGGGATCCAGCCCCCCCTATCCAGGAGGCCCCAGGGCAGTGGGGGTGCAGACAGGTGACTCCAGGACAGGCGGTGGGGCTGGGGACCGTGAGGCTCAGGTAGTGTCCCCAGCCGGGTCCCCTACTAGATGGGGACGAAATCAGATATGTAAAACCCACACATCTCCTCTCTGAGCACCATCTCCAAAGAGCGAGGAGGACACCACCGGTGTTTCCATCCCGAAGTGCCGTGTTCCACAGGGTGCGCGGGAGCAGCTGACAGTCGCTTCATGAAGAATCCAGAAACGGGGGCGGGGGGAGGCTAGATAGCTCTTTGAAGTCGGGTGTGCGTGTGCTATCAGGTCAAGGATGCCAGTGTCTTTATTCTAATGACTCAGGATCTGCTTATAACCCTGAGCACCGTGATCGAAGGCAGCAGTCCTAGCCAGGAGGGCCGCGTCCCCCGGGCCAGCCTGGCTCTGCCCACACAGCCCTGCAAGTCCCTGAAGGGTCCTCCGTCCTGCCGAGCCCAGACTCGAGCTCCGGGGCCTGACCCCCCGCCTGCCGGCCACCCCCTCCCAGCAGCGTAGCCGCCCACGGGGCTGCGGCGGCTGTGCTTCCATGCCGACCGCTGCAGTTTCAGGGTGGGGGGGGCTGTCAGGGTGAGCAGAGGAAGAGGGGCCAGTGAGAGCTGCCAACATGTGCCTCTTTCGTGCTCCGCAGCCGAGGTCAAGCGCGTGGGAGACACGGTGCTGGGGATGGCCACGCAGTGCGTGCAGATGAAGAACGTGCAGAGGACCACGCCCCAGACCTTGTCCAACCTCTGCTTGAAGATCAATGTCAAACTGGGGGGCGTGAACAACATTCTCCTGCCCCAGGGGAGGTAAGGCCGGCTTTGGCCACGTGTGCGGCGGTGGGCAGCACAGTTCCTGGAGGGACGGGGGTGCGGTGCACGTGTGGGCCCCTTCAGATCCCCGGCACCAAGCACCATCCTGGACAGTCCCAGCAGACACGGGCAGTGCTCCCCCAAGTCTGGGGAATGAGGGGCATAGGGGGGTCTTGGAGTGCTATGGCCAGGCTCCCTGAGTGAGGTGAGACCAGAGAAGGGTGCAGGGGTCCTGGGACGTGGGACGTGGGACATGGGATGGGGCAGCCATGCTATGAAAGGAGTGAGCGGGTCAGAACCGGAGCTCACCTGGAACGTCTAGGACACGAGCCTCAGCAGAGCAACACACGTCATTGCTGTGTGGGCTGCCAGTGGGCGCCCCTGAGGCCGTCAGTACCAGGAGCCGACCCCTGGAACCCTGAGAGGCTCCGCAGCAGGGCACACTGTTGGCAGACCCCAGGCTGGGGTAGGGATGTGGGGCTGGCATGGGATCGGTGGGCGGGGCTGTGGGGTCCTTGGTCCCTCTTGGCCTGGCATGGGGCCCTGGGTGCCCTGAGTGCAGGCCAGCTTCTTCTGCAGCGGGGAGAGAACTCTGTCGGGACAGATGCTGTCAGGGGGGTTCTTGCTGAAGCGTCTGGGCATTTGGGTTCGGGTTTGATGGCAGACACGGGTAAGCATGGGTCACTTGGCACGCTCACTCTTCAGTGTGCCAGCCAGCCCCCCGGGTAGAAGGGCCGGGCATGGAGGCAGCAGGCGGTCTGGCTGCTTCTGTGAGCTCCGGGCAGAGGCACGGGAGACGGCAATGTGTGCAGAAGCCTGACAGCCTGTCCGGGCTGCCTTTGTGGGCACGGCTGGGCGAGGCTCTGGTCAGCACCTCTGGGCCGGGACCCAGGCGAGGGCGTTCTAGTGAGCGCACAGCAAGGCCGCGGGTGGGGGGGCCGCCCCTTCAGAACAAGGAGTCCCGCTGCTGAGGGGAGTTAGTAGGTCGCCGTGCGATGGCATGGAAAGACTCTGAATTCAGGGCCTGACAACTTTGAACTTGAAGACTGGCTCTGCGACGTGGGGTCGAGTCATGCAGACCCCGGGGAGACACAAGGAGCCTCCAAGGGCAGGTGGTGAGCGCCCAGCCAGCGGGCTCTGATCAGTGGGTGCCGGCCGTGAGCCAGGACTGGGGCCAGAGCAGCAAGCGCGGCAGCCAGAGTCCCAGCCTCTACTCGGGGGACCCACACGCATGGGTCTTGACAGGTGAGCAGCAGAGACATCATGGGAGGGACCGGAGCTCAGGAGGGTGAGGAGCTGGGGTTTCTATGGCAACGGACTGGTGGAGAAGGTAGCACTAGGCAGAAGGGCATAGGCTTGTGGGGATGCCTGCGAGAAGGGTGTTCCGGACCCCGGCGTGGTTCGGGCAAGGGCCCCGGGTGGGAGCCTGCCAGGACGGCTGGGGGTTGTTCTAGCCCAGGACCCAGGGGTGGGGGTCTGCTGGCAGTGGCCTGGGGCTCCCTCCAGGCTGGACACAGCTCCTGGAGGTGTCTGTTCTGAAAGGCTGCTCCAGCTCTGGGTGGAATGGGACCGGGAGGCCCCAGCGTAGTCTCGGGAGGGATGCTGGCGTGGGGGAGGGTGGGGTCTGCCCCGAGACGGTATGTTTGGAAGATGGCGATGCAGGGCCCGCAGACAGGCTGGGTGTGGGCTATGAGCAAAAGAGGAGAGTGTCCAAGGCTCTCGCTCTGCTGAGCCTCTGCGGCCCTAAGCAGCACGAGGGGTGGGGCTTGCGGGGTCGTGCTGGAGGGGCTTCTCGGGTGGGCGAGAAGAAACAGGTTTGCTATCGGGGATGTGTGATTAGGGCTCTGCAGCAGAGAGCTGGGATTGAAAGCCAGGAGGCAGACCCCCCAGGGCAGGGCATAGACAGGAGGGAGGCCAGGCTGCCCTGGAGGCTTCGTGGTTAAAAAGGTCATGGAGACTGGGAGCCAGCAGTGGGGCCCCAGAAGAGAGAGGAGGAGAACCAAGCAGGTCCTGGACCCCAGGGGCACTGCAGCCTGTGTCACATGGTGTGGACTCTGCCAGGCAGGGGTGGGGGACCTTGTGCAGGGAGCCTTGTTGCCATGGCAGCAGGACGTCTGGTGGGAGGGGCCCGAGGCTGCTGGGAGGGGGGGAACGGGTGCAGGGGCAGGAGCTTAGCAGCAGGCGTAAGGGGAAGGAGGGAACGGAGTCTGCAGGCAGGTGTGGCTTCCCCGTGGAAGCCAGAGTCATAGCTGCGGGTGCACAGGGAGGGAGCTGGGAGGAGGGCGCGGCACCGGTGCCCAAGAGAGCCAGGATGGGGCCGGGCCCTGGAGGCTCACAGAGAAGGGCCGCGGTCCACTACGGGGCCCAGAGACAGGTCGGTCTTTGTGGCCATGGGCGGCATCTTCCCCCGTGCGGGGAGCCCCCGTGAGCTCGCCAGTGTCCCGCTTCCATGTCTCGGGACCCCCGGGAGAAGGGCCCCCCCGGGTGTGGTTGGCGGTACGCCGGAGCTTGCCGGGGAGCCAGTGCACGTTTTGTGGACACGGACACATGGCATCCACACTCGGAGCCCTTCCCCCACCTCTGGGCTCTGGGGGGGCTCTGGCCAGCGGGAGTCCCGCGGGGACCGTTCCCCAGTGAGTTCCGCTCCGGACTGGGCGGGCGGGCACCTGGCGCCTCTCACCTCGGAGCAGCAAGGACGCGGGAGTGGCAGGAGCCTCTGGCGAGCGCGACGGGCCAGGCCGTCTGAAAGTGCTTGGCTCGCGTGTGCTCACGTCCATGTTCGTGTCGGCTGCATTTTCCAGAAGAAAAAAGTAAGCCGTAGAGAGCATCAGCTCTGGAACGCAAAGCTAGCATGTGACCCCGTGCGCACAGCCTCTTCAGGAAGGTGCTTGAACACAGCATTTGAACAACGAGGAGAGGAAGCCCGTGTTGTGCTTAGCCCGGGGCGGGGGGGCGGCTGGCACCTCGTGGGCTGAGAGCAGGGGTGCTGCTGAGCATCCTGCAGAGTGGGGGCGGCCCCTGCAGCACAGGATGGCCCAGCCCCAAGCTGCCGCTGGACCGCAGGGACGACGCTGGGGAGTGTGGCTGCAGGTCCCAGGTGGGAGGCAAGTACGGGACTCTTACGCGCGTGGGGTCTTGCGTGTAAGGTGTACAGTCGTCGTCTCATGAATTCGTAACCTGAATGTAGAGACTCAGCACATCTGATGAATGTGGAACGTTTTGGCATACAGAAGCAGGAGCCTCCCTGACCCCGGCCTCCGTAGCCGTGCACGCCTGACCCGTCTTGTCTCTGTTTCTCCTATCCCTCGTCCCCCGCACCGGGTTGTTTCTTTGGAAGCAGAGCTCAGACCTCGTGTGGCTTTATCGGCCAGGGTTTCTGTGTGGGCCATCAAAAAATATGAGGTTTTTGTCAAAAAGACAACCACGGTGCCTTTGCCACGCAAGTGACGCTCTTCGGGGGCACAGGCCTCAGACACTCTGGCTTCCCTCCGCAGGCCGCCTGTGTTCCAGCAGCCCGTCATCTTCCTGGGGGCCGACGTCACTCACCCACCCGCTGGGGACGGGAAGAAGCCTTCCATCGCCGCTGTGAGTATCCGTGCTTCCGCTGGGCCGCGGCGGCCGGCGTCCTCCCACACATGGGACCTGCGCCCTGGCCAGGCTGCCTGTGGGAGGGCATGTGGCCAGAGCCGCCCCCAACACCCACAGTGGTTTGTGGAGCAGCTGGCAAAACAGAGTCTCGTGGAAAATTAGTATTTGGAGGGGACTCTGCACGTGGCTGAGTGTGTCTGAGAAGCCAGGAGGTCGTGACTCCCGTCTTGTGGGGCCCCACCTGCAGCTCCTGGGGGCCTGGGGGCTCTCTGCACAGGATTCGTGGGCCCACTTCCTTACACTGCACTCTTCTTAAACGTTTTCGTTTATTCTAAAACGCTAAACGTGAAGTAGTTACGGTCAGAGTTCAGTGGAGGCCTTGCCCTCCATCTGCCCGTGAGTTCCTTTTGGCTTCCGAGGGCTTTGCCTCCCAGGCTCTGCACACCTGTGCTGCACACCCGCTCACCAGCTGTCTCCTGCCCTTGGAGGCTGACCTGGGCCCCTGCTCCGTGCCCCAGCCAACTGGGCCTGGGAGGGGCAGCATAACGGCCTTTTGTTCAAGAGCGTGTGGAATAGCGTGGACTGGGGAAGGGGTGCGCAGGGCCAGAGTGCTCCCTCGGAGCTGTCTGTGATGGGGCCCCCCATCTTCTGCATCCTGGGCAACCGGGTGGAGGGAAGGAGGCATCAGGCTCAAGGTCTGTGTCCCCAGCATCCCCCGTGGGGACTGCCAGAGTGACCTCCGGGCTGTTGTGCATCCTGTCACGTGCCTGACACCACGTAGGGCCACTTGTCGAGCCCTCCAGACTAATCAGAGAAGACTGACATTTTCTGAGCACCTGCTACACGCTGGGCTCTGGGCAGCGTCACTCCGCTGAGTCATAACCTCGTGGGGTCACTGTTCGTTTCCTCAGCTGACACATGAAGGCCAGAAAAGCCGAGCTCCGTTGCTCAAGAGAAGCGGCAGAAAACACAGCTGTAGACAGCGCGAGGCTCAGGGTTAGGGTCTGAGCTGTGTGGGGCGTTGGGGGCCACCACGCTGTCAGGCTCCCACGTGAGGGGTTTCGCGTCCCATTCCCTCCATCATGGCGGCTCTTTCTGGAGCAGTCACAGACGGGCAGCACCCGCCACGTGTGTGGACAGGGCCAGCCACCATCTGGCCATCCGGGGAGGCTGGGCCCCTGGGAGGTGCAGGCTTCCCCAGGGTCCGTTGTGGGCCCCCCCGCCACACGCCGGGTTCGTCTGGTGTCATTCAGGGGCTGTGATCCTCTGGCAAGGTGGCGTTCGGTAGTGTGACTCTTCCTCCTGGACTCAGCCTTACGGAACCTCCGCGTCCCGCCTGGAGTGCGGTTTCCACCTGGTGAGACGCTCCCCGGCCCCTCCTTGCTGAGGAACTGTGCCGCTTGGGTTCTCGCCAGCTTGCCCTCGGGGTGGTCCCCCATTCCCGGGGAGCAGGGACGTGCCCTGATGGGCAGGCATCTTCTCTGGGGGAGCATGGTGCTTTGAGGAAACGAGGGCTTCCTCAGCTGGCTTCTGTGGGGCTGATGGTGCTCAGCCAGCTCGGCTCACAGGCGGAGTCGGGGTTCAGAAGAGTCACCTCCTTTTCATCAGACGCTCGCAGCACACTTATTCTCTGTCCCATGTTTAGTAAGCACGGTGGCCGCGTCCCAGAAAGAAACACAGAGACAACAGGTTCGCCTCCCACACGCCGCTGTCCCTTGACTGTGCTGTGACGTCGGGGTGGTGACATGTGTGTCCTCGCTTGTCCATGCAGGTCGTGGGCAGCATGGACGCGCACCCCAACCGCTACTGCGCCACGGTGCGGGTCCAGCAGCACCGGCAGGAGATCATCCAGGACCTGGCCACCATGGTCCGGGAGCTGCTCATCCAGTTCTACAAGTCCACGCGCTTCAAGCCCACACGCATCATCTTCTACCGGGACGGCGTCTCTGAGGGCCAGTTCCAGCAGGTGGGTGCCCGCAGTCGCCTCCAGGGTCTCAGAGTGCCCAAGAGTCACCTGTCTATCCGGCGCGCTGACATCTGTTCTCCCCCGCAATTCGTGTGGCCACGCCTGGACGGCGGGCCGGGAACAGGCCACCAGCCCAGCAGGGCCAAGGCAGGGCGGGAGGGGACGAGGAGCCACGGGGAAGTCGGGTCTGGACTGGCTCGGCTGGGTGCCCTTCCGGACGCTTGGTCGGGGGAGTCTGGGGACCCCCACTGTGTCTGGGGGTCACCTCCATGTGTGGCGGGAAAGGCAGGCTGCAGGGTGGAGGCCTCAGAGCCCTGGTGACGGCTCTGGCAAGGGGCCAGGAGGGCAGCTGGTCAGGAGCCCCATTTGGGAGGAGGGCTCGTGGGACCGGCCACCGTCCGGATGGGGTCTTGGGTGACGTGTGGATCGCGGGCTCGGGCCGCTGTCCAGAAGGCGGGGGGCGGGGGCGTCAGACGTGGAGTGAAAAGGCGAGAGAGCAGGTGCGGAATTTTGCTGCTGTTCTCTGCGTCCAAGTGCCTGCTTTCCCTCCCTGTTGCGGGGACCTCTGTCCTCGCCCAGCGCTTGGGAGAGCCATGCCCTGAATGTGTCTCCCCCACATCGATCCTAGCCAGGTACACCTCCTCCCACCCCGTCCCCACACGCGCCTCTCTGGGAGATGTTAGCAGGGAAGGCAGAAGATCTGGGGGCCCGTGTCCAGTCCTGTGGGAGACCCACCTGGACAGGCATGCACCCCGAGAGCTGTGCTGCTGTGTGTCTGAGGCCCCAGGCCCCCCTGGACATGCAGGCTAGAGAATGCGTAGACCTTCCTGCTCCAGAAGGGGGCCACAGCTCATACTCCCCACCCCCAGGCCCTTGGTCAGTGGGAAGAAGGGAGTCAACCCTCTGGCCAGGGCTCCAGAGAGCTGCTGCAGGGGCAGGGCTGGTCCCTCTGACGTTCGCCCTCCAACATCCACGGTCCAGTGTGTGCTGACCTCGAAGGCACCTCTTATACAAAAGTTCTTGGCTTCCCTTGGTAGAGAATGTTCCCCCTTCTGTGCCCCTTGCCCCCCGCCCCCCTACCACAGCCATTCCTGCTGGAGAGGGGTCTGCGCCTTCTGTGTTTGTCACTCTGGGAGCACAGCCTGTGCCTTACGGAATCCCCACAGCTGGCGGTTCTCAACCCAGAACCCAAGACACTTTGGAAACAACACGATGTTTGATTCGGACCATGGTTAAAAATCTAAGGTGTGTGGTTCCTGGAGTGGCCTCATCACGGCCTGAGAAGTTGTTTGCCTGTTTATGTCAGACACAGAGAGTGAGAACGTCATAATGTTCCTGTGCCCTGACTCCCAGGCGCTTTGTACCTTCCTTTAGTCTTCGCAGCAGGCCTGCAAGGTAGGATGTTCCCACTTGAAAAGTGAAAAAACGCTGGGCATCAGAGAGGGCCCATGGCTTTCCCAGAGCCGCACAGCTACCTGTGGCAGGGCTAGGGTGTGAACCCCGGTTTAAGTCCTGAGCCAGTGTTCGTTCCGCTGGGTTCTCCCTCCTCTCTGGCACGGAAAACAAGTTGCTGACTTGATCTGTTCATGTGTATGTCTCCCTTTGTGCTTTCTTACTTCTGTGCCTGACGGGTATCGTTTATGGAGCACTCAGAACACTCTAGAAACCGTGCTGAGGAATGTTATGCACTATCTAATTTAAACCATTTAACTATGACATCTGGGTCTCCTCTACTCAATTATAGAAATGAAAAAGCAAATGCAGAAAGGCAGTCACACCGCTGAGCACAAGCTGGCACAGCTGGAGGACTGACCTGCAAGGAGTTGTCAAGTAGCGCATGTTATGAAGGGATTTATTCCGAGGTAGAAAGGTACCGTTAAAGAAAAAAAGAACCATCCTTAAACTCATCTTTTCTTTCCCTCAGGTTCTCCACCATGAGTTGCTGGCCATTCGTGAGGCGTGTATTAAGCTAGAAAAAGACTACCAGCCAGGGATCACTTTCATAGTGGTACAGAAAAGGCACCACACACGGCTGTTCTGCACCGACAAGAACGAGAGGGTGAGGTTCTGGGACTGAAGGAGTGGCCAGAGGTCGGCCCTAGGCCATGGGGCCATGAGGGACACAGGTCTCTGCTCAGCCCGCGCCCAGAGCCCTGACTAGGGGCTTCATGGAGACCCAGCTCTGGACGCTGGAGAAGGGCTGTCCTCAGGCTGGTGAGATGTGTGGACCTGTACATCCCACAGGCCTGGGACAGGACCAGGCAGGAGATCTTATTTGTCTAGTAAAGAAATTACCAGACCCCTGGCTCTGAAAAAAGGCCTGTGGCAGCCATGACAATGGGCAGAGTCTCTGGGATACAGACTGGGGACCGTCGGGGGTGGTGGGGTGCTGAAGGTGGTGGGGTGGTGGGGCTCCAGGGAGCCCGTCCCAGGGTACGTCTCCTGGGAGTTCCAGAATAAGAATAACGAGCACAAGGGAGAGGCAAGGTTTATAGATCGAACAGCTAAGAAATCATCAGTTGAAGAAAGGTAGGAATCTTCTGGTTACAGGTATTTTCCATGTTCCCAACAGGAGAAATAAAAATAAATGTACACATAGCCTCGTGTCCTAAAGTGCGCAGCATCATGTAGCCGCCTGCGAAAAGGGACAGTGCCCGCAGGGAAGGAGACACTCCCCTGAGAGCCAGCAGCCCTCCTGCTGCTCGGGCCCCCACACCAGAGAAGGCACAGTGAGGGAGAAATGCAGATTGTAGTGAGGGAACGGGACAATTGGTCACAATTGCAGGGTCACATCCACCAAGAAGATGTAACAGCCGTGGGCTTGGACGCACCTAACGCAGTGACCTAAAAATACTAAAGGGAAGAAATACAGTGTAGCGAAAACCAGACCGAATTCCCAGGAGAAATTGACAAACGCTCCATCAGAGAGGCGTACTTTAACACAGCACTGCCAGACACAGGGGCAGGCAGGCGTGACCGAAAGCCAGACGCTGGAAGGGGGTGACCAGGCCGGGTCTCACGGCTAGCGTCCCCCTGCTGACACTTGCGTTCACGCGGAAGGCTTATGAAAGTCGCCTTGTTCCTGGTCACAAGGAGATCTTGGGAGATTTCCTTTTTCTTTTCTTTTTCTTTTTTTAAAGATTTTTCTTTATTTATTCAGCAGACAGGGATCACAAGTAGGCAGAGAGGCAGGCAGAGAGAGGGGGAAGCAGGCTCCCCGCTGAGCAGAGAGCCCGATGTGGGGCTCGATCCCAGGACCCCAAGATCATGACCCGAGCCAAAGACAGAGGCTTAACCCACTGAGCCACCCAGGCGCCCCGAGATTTCCAAATCTATTGGAAATAGATCTATTGGGCAAACCATGTTTGTATTTTTAAATCATACAATTAGATTTTAAATCAGCAGTAGAAAGAAAAAGACATTTAAGAAGGCCTGAAATTTTAAATTCACTTCTAAGTAGCACACGCATTAAACGTGCAAAGGGAATAAAAACTACAAAGTAATCAGAACTGAATAAAAAGAGGATTTCGTATCAGACTTTATGCAGCATGGCTGGAACAGTCCTTGGAGAGAAGAGGATAGGTTTAGATACATGTGCTGGAAAGTAAGAAAGAGAACTGGCCAGGGAGGCTGACGGTGCCGGAAGGACAGAAGAGCTGCTGGTCCTGGGTGTGGAGGGAAGGCCGAGGAGCCGGTGTGCTCAGGCTTCCTCCCTCCTTTGCCTGTAAACCGCCCCCGCCAGGAGCCACGCGGGCTCAGGGCCAGCTTGTTTGTAAACCCCAGCCCCTCTCCGTGGGAGATAATGAAGAAGACTGAGCAGATGAACACAAATGAAACCTGCTTCTTTGAAGATAGAGAAACCTAGCAAGACTCAGGGAGGGAAAAAAGAGGATACTTGTAACCATGTTAAGAGCAAAAAGAGTCTGTGACCCCAGAAGGCGGATGTGTTACTTAAATCATCATGGGATGGTAACAGCTTTATGCTGATAGATACATTAGAAGAACGAGAAGAGATAGATACACACGGTTGTTTGTGAAATCAGGGAAATTACTAAAACCAGCTCTGGAGGATAATCGAATCATCATTTCCAAAAGGCATCAGGCCCAGGGAGCCTACAGGCAAGTGTTACCAAGTCTTCAAGAGTAGATGATCTTAAAGTATGGCAGAGAATAGGAAAAAAGAAGAAACTATTTAGCTTATTTTGTGAAGTTTATCCAGATTTTTTTATAGGCAAGTTTTACCAAACTATCAAAGAATAATCTTACACAAAATTTTTTAGAGAATGGGAAGTAACTGGGGGCGGGGGGGTAAGGGGGTACTCATGAAGTTATCCTGATAACAGCCAAGTGTTGGCAAGGATGTGGGTGCTGGGCCGTGGTCAGGAGCACGGGTCTAGAGCCAGTCCCCCCCACCAGCATCTGGGCTGCGTGGCCACAGGTGTCGGCCTCCTGGGAGCACTTTCCTGAGGTGGTTGGGAAGGTCCCAAGCACTTTGCATTGTCCTTGGCACAGAGTAAGTGTGTTATTACGAAGACTGTCCTGTGCTTCCGAAGGGAGTGCAGACTGGTAATTGTAGCCCTGGAGAAGCCCACCTGCGTGTGTGTAAGGAGACAAGTAGACGAATGTTCATCGCAGCGTTGTTTCTGATAGCAATACTTCGTCTACTAAGAGGAGGAAGCATCGTGATGTAGTCCTGTGCTGGCGTGCTGCCCAGCAACGAACAGGGTAGACTGTGCAGCACATGAATACATCTCAGAGTCGTCAATATTGAGCAAAAATAGCAAGTGGCAGGATATATGTGATACACCTGCCCTGTTTGAACACCTGTGCGGTAACACAGTGTCGTGCTCACAGAGACTTAAATATGTAGCGAGAAATGAAAGTACATGAGGGGGGCGCCTGGGTGGCTCAGTGGGTTAAGCCTCTGCCTTCGGCTCAGGTCATGATCTCAGGGTCCTGGGATCGAGCCCCGCATCGGGCTCTCTGCTCAGCGGGGAGCTTGCTTCCCCCTCTCTCTCTGCCTGCTGCTCTGCCTACTTGTGATCTCTCTCTCTCTCTCTGTCAAATAAATAAATAAAATCTTTAAAGAAAAAAAAAAGTGAGGATTAGCTCTCTAGGCTGACATGGAGTGATCTCCATCCACTATGTACCTACCAAGGTACAGAACAGTGTATTTCTGAGCAGTGTACAGAAAACAAAAACCCAAGTACAGAAATTTCTTGTGCAAGAAAAGGAAGTTCATGGATATACATACACAGTTGTTTTTATATTTAAAAAAAAAAAATTATAGGGGCGCCTGGATGGCTTAGTGGGTTAAAGCCTCTGCCTTCAGCTCAGGTCATGATCCCAGAGTCCTCAGATCGAACCCAGCATCGGGCACTCTACTCAGCGGGGAGCCTGCTTCTCCCTCTCTCTCTCTCTCTCTGCCTGCCTCTCTGCCTACTTGTGATCTCTCTGTCAAATAAATAAAAAAAATCTTTTAAAAAATTATTTATATATTTTTTAAAATTAATTAATTAATTAATTTAATTTATTTGTCAGAGAGAGCACAAGCAGGGGCAGCAGCAGGCAGAGGGAGAAGCAGGCTCCCTGCTGAGCAAGGAGCCCCATGTGGGGCTGGATCCCAGCCCCTTGGGATCATGACCTGAGGTGAAAGCAGACGCTTAATTGATTGAGCCAGTCATTCCCCACAGCTGCTTATATTTTCAAGGAGAAACAATACAGGAGAAAGTAAATTAAAAACTACCAAAAATGTGTAGGGGAAGGGAGGGATCTGGATGCAAGACACCAGGAGGAAGCAAGACTTACCTGAGCACACTCTACACATTAGGAAGTTTGGCTTTGGAATCATGTATAAAGCTTTGACGTAATCACACAGTCGTAAAACAGATTACATCCAAAAAAGCACTACTCTACCACACACGCACAGAATGAAAAAGAAGAACAAAATAAAGGTAAATGAACCTAATTGGACTTTGTTAGTGACATAACGATGTGGAGAAAAAAATTATTCTGACTTAGCTTAAAAGACAATATTCTTACTATACATTCTTAACAAGATGCTCTCTGAGGACCCTCCCCCTCCCCCCAAATGCAGATTTTAAGTCATATTCAGCAGTCTCACTACAAATAGGTTAGGAATTAAGATTTTCCACCCAAGAGATATAAAATAAGCATAAAAATTTTTAAAAAATAGGTAAAAACCTCATACCCTTAAATTTGAATTAGAAATCTTAGCAGGGCCCCTGGGTGGTGCTGTGGGTTGAGCAGCAAACTCTTGGCTTTAGCTCAGGTCATGATCTCAGGGTCCTGGGATCCAGCCCTGCATTGGGTTCCACGCTCAGCAGGGAGTCCGCTTAAAAGATTCTCTTTCCCTTCTTCTGTCCCTCCCCACTGCCCTTGTGCTCATGCACACGTGCTCTCCCCATCTCTCAAATAAATAAATCTTAAAAAAAAAAAGAGAAGCATTAGCAAGATGTTATTCTTCCCTTTAAAAAAAAAAAAGAAAAGAAAGAAATGTGTCTGAGATCTGTCCAGTGAAAAGGCCTAAAAAATAATGAAAACTCAGTAAAGATAGGCACTCCTGACACCCAGATTGTGGTCTTTAAATATCACTCCCCAGTAAAAGAACCCTGAGGTCCTTGAAGAAATGCCTGGCTGCAGGGCCATGGTGGAAAACATACTTGGTAAGTCTAGAACATCTTGTGCCTAAGGCTGATGAGTCATTTCAAAAGGACATAGGAACCAGTCTGAAGGGTTCCCATTGGCCAGAGTGGGATCATTGACTGCAGTTTAATATATAAAATTCCATAGGTTGTCATGGTACTAAAGCAGCAAATGAACCATCATAGCACTCCTGTGTTATTGCATTGTTGTTGCATAGGGCTCTTCTTTGAGACTATTTTGAATGGCGTCCGCAGAGCTGAAATCTGCCTCCTGAGGTTCCAAAGACCTGGGTTTTAGTCCCAGCTCTTCCTCTTGCTTCTGCCACCGCCGTCCATCTCTCACCCTTGCCGAGCCTCAGATTCCTCATCTCTAAAATAAGAATGAGAACTCTTTTATGTGCCCTGTTCTCCCTTCCAGACCATGAGGAGTGACTGCTGACCTCTAAGATGTTTCCGCCTTGCTGAGACCATGAATTGTCAGTGTTTCCCCTCAATTACTACACTCTTAAAGAGGCACATTTATGAAATTCCACTGGAGACTGGAATTCTTTGAGTTCTACCTAGAAAAATAAGCGTTGCCCGTTCATCAGCACAGGTTGGATGTGGAAGTAAAATGCTTTGTTTCTTTCAGCCATGGAATTCCATGAACACTTACACAGCATCGGCACCAAGGAAGGTCTGAAGGAACGGAAACTACAAAAAGCAGTGGAGAGCTTTACCTGGAATATCACCATCTTAAAGGTATGTGGCCAAGCTGTTTCTGATGCCGGTGACGCTGCAGCCTTTCTCAGCACGTTTCCTCCTTTAAGTAGAACAGGTCTTGCCTTAGGAGTTATCAGCCACTGAGGCAATAGCGCCCACCGCCATCCAGTGAGAGAACTCAGCCCTCAGGAGAGCCCGCAGGCACAGCCCTTGGGCGGTGCGGTGCGGCTTGGAGAGAGCCCAGCGGACTCCAGCGGTTGGCACATTGTGGATTCTGACGGGAAGGGAGAGGACCTTGGCTTCTACCCTTAAAACACTGTCAAGTTTATAAACGCCAGTTCTATCTGTGAAATAGTGTGATTATAGAGGGATGATTGGGAATTTAGATTCTAATTACTCAGATGTCATTTAATACTTCCAAGTATAATCACAACCTTAATATTTATATGATCCCGGACAAAATGGGAAAGACTTATGTGGGGCATAATTAAAACAAATATGTAAAGGAATTGCCATTCGACAGAAAATTTGCTTTAGAAGCCATCTGTTTGTCTTCCTGCCTCCCTCCTTCCCTCCCTCTCCTTCACTTCCTTCCTTCCTCAGCACGACCATTTTTAAAATGTTTAGTATTTTTTATTATAAAAGTAATACATTATAGTTGGAACTGTCAAAATAGAAATAGGCAAAGATGGACGTGGTCCCACCATTCAGAGGCGACTACCACATGCCTTGTGCCGTACACTCTCCCTGTCTTTTTTTCTGTGCTGTGTATCAGGTGACATGGTTTTTAAAAGGAGGCTATGCATGTACCTTGAAGCCTTTGTTAAGTTTTGTCCCAGTGGTCTTTACTTTTCTTCTTTTCTGTGTTTGGGAACTTGAATAATCATAACACAGAAATATTATTTCACTCTGGATCTTGGACAACTAAATCTAAAATTACTCTCTGGTAGTCACCCTCCAAACTTTCTGCTCCCTTGAAGCCAAAACTATAAGGACGTTCTCACTGCTGCCTCTTTTAATTTCCTTGTTCCACCTCAAGTTAAATGTTCCACCTCAAGTTGAATCCCTGCAGCAGACAATGGCTTTCTGATTTAAGAGAAAGTCACCCTTCCAAAGCTAGCCAACTTGCGTTTTCTCATGTTAAACCTCTACTCGTTTGTATAATTAAAATCATTTTCTTGACTTCTTAAAACAGTTCCCTTCCTTCACATGTGCTTTCTTTTGTAAGCTTTCAAAAGGTTAATCAAAGTTAACCTTAGAGGTTAACTTTGATAGTTTGCAATTTAGTAAACAGCAGATAGAAGAATTTACAAGGAAAAGGAATTTAGCTTTATAACTTGCTGACTCATTCCCACCCAGAGGTGGGGGTACACAACAATTTCCGACAAACCTCAGGGAACAAAGTAGCACAGTAGTTTAAGCCCTGTGATAGAACAAATGCTTGTGTTGCTTTTATTATAGCAAAACCAGACTTACAGACCAGACCCTTCACCTGTCAACTGTCCTCGCTACTTGTTTGAGGTCTGGGAACCAGAAGCCTGGGTATTACTTGGGAGCTTGTTCAAAAATACAGATTCCCAAGCCCCACCCCGGGTCTACTGAATCAGAATATGCATTTTTACAAGATCCCGGGGTTTCTCGTGCTCATTAAAGTCTGAGATACACTTGGCTAAAGAGCCACCGAAAATGGGAGCCTGGCACACACATTAATGAGAAACAGCTGACATAAAGTAATATACCAGATTTTAGAAATAAGTAATTGAACCAAATAACTACGCCGAGAAAACCCATTTTCTTTTGACTTATGTCCAGGACAGAGAATTAACACCTCAGACTTGCATTCATATGGAAACTAACGTATAGGACAGGGTAAAGGATCTTTTTAGAATTTCCAGCATATTTGTTCTAGATGGTGTTTGAGTGTGGTAGAAGCTGAGTGAGGAATGGGAAAGAACTGGAGAGATCTATGTGTCATTTCCATATAATGGAAGGGCTTTTTCCACCCCTGGGTGATTCACAAGTTTTAACTTTGTTTAGGAGAATCAGTGACCCCTTGGATGTGAATCTGGGTCTGAGTTGAGATACTAACCTTTTCCTGGCAGGAGGGAATCAGATCCTTTGTATTCCTCTGACCACTTGTTCTTCGTGGTAAGCTAGGAGAGGTGGTGGCCCTCCGAGGCTATGCATGGTGGGCAGTAGGCAGCCGTGGCCTCATGGTGGACCCAGAGGCTAGGGGAAGGTTTCAGATAACACTGGGTATGGAGAGGAAAAGAGAAGGAGGGCGGGGAGACATGTCCAGGGAGCCCTGGAAATGTGAGGTCAAACAGGAACTTCCTGTAGTGCTTAAAAATGCAGCCTCCTGAGCCCCACCTCAGAAGCTGGGTCAGAATCTCTAGGGACAGAACTTGTGAATCTGCTTGTTTAACAAGTTCCTTGGGGGATTCTGAGGCATCCTAAAAAAATGGAGTACCTCTGCTCTAGAACGAAATCGAAAGTATCTTCCTCCACTCAAGAAGGCAGGTGACCGATCATCCTGGGACATAGGACTTCCCGTGTGGAAATCAGGACAGACCTGGGCAAACCAGAAGATGATGGTCACCCAGTGTGGGAGCCTCCTGCCATAAACTCCTTTCATCTAGGGACGTGCCTCCCAGTTTTTATGAATTTTTGCTTGCTTTGTTTAGTTTTGCAATTTTAAGAATTGCTTTAAAACTACAAAAATGAATAAAGAAGAAATGTCAGCTCTGATCACCACACCCAGAGTTATCTACTATAGACACATTAGCATATTTACTTCCAGACACTTTTTATTTTGAATAAAAATCATTCATTTGTTTTTGTAAATGCATCTTCATTTATATGAAGCCTTTTTTAATGTAGAAAAGATAGAAGTTTTAAAATGACCTCAAGCCCTCTGAAAAATAACTATTATTAAATGTAGGTGACCTTGGGGCACCTGGGTGGCTCAGTCAGTTAAGTGTCTGCTTTCTGCTCGGGTCATGATCCCAGGGTCCAGGGATTGAGCCCCACATTGGGCTCCCTGCTCATCAGGGAGCCTGCTTCTCCCTTTTCCTCTGCCTGCTGTCTGCCTACTTGTGCTCTCTCTCTCTGTCAAATAAATAAATTAAAAAAAATTTAAATATAGGTGACCTTATTTTAGGAACCATTTTAGATGCATATGGATGGATGGATGGAGATACATATTATTGATTCTGAATCATACTTTTTTTTTCTATTTCTGATATCTTCTAAATTGGCATGTATCTTATAGTCCATGGTATCTGTACACTACACCCTAGTTCGTTGGCAGTGATTTTCTTTCTTAATAGAAACTCTGACAAGAACTGATGTCTCAGATATTATGAAATAAGGTACGCCAATAGACAGAATCCTACTAGGATCGCTTTTTAATTTTTAAAAAAATACTAAATTTTACTTAATTTAAGAGAAGAAAAGTAAACCATAAAGAACTTAAATGAATTTCTATTTATAGGAAATAATTATCTCTCACAGTAAAGCTTGTTCAGCGATTCATTTAGCTTCTTTCATTTACCATAATGCTTTGCATATTCATCCAAGTTGAGGTGTGTTTCAGCAATCCATTTCTTTTCATTGATGAACAGTATTCTGTTTGCTGGCCATGGGACCCTTTGTTCATACACTTACTAGCTGATGGTCATTTGGGTTATTTCCAGTTTCTAGCTCTCGTGACTAAAGCCACAGTAAGCATTCCCAAGCAGGTCTTTGTGTGAACATGTGCTCATTTTCTCAGATAAATATGAGTGCAGTTGCCGGATCATATGGTTAAGTGTATGTCAGACTTTATAGGAAATTGCCAAACCACTTTCGAAACTGGCCCATGTAGTATTCCCCCAGCAGTGTTGTGAGAGTTCTAATTATCCCACATCCATGTCAACATTTGCTATTGTCAGTTTAGCCAGTATACGGCATGTGTAGAGGTAGAGCATCTTTTTGTTTGGGGTTTTTTGGTTTTTTTTAGCCTTTTTAAAGAATTATGATGGGCCTTAGTCTGATTTTCATCATGTTTCTTCTCCTTTGGGTTTCTTGAGATTCTTCCACTTGTGGATTTATAGTGTCCATCAAATTTGGAAAATTTTTAGCCATTTTTTTCTTTAAATCTTTTTTTCTGTCTTACCCTTTCTTCTGTAGCTCCATATATATATATATATATTTTTTTTTAATTTATTTATTGCTTGATACCTTCCCAGAAGTGACAGATCCACTATTCACTTCTTTTTAGGTCTTTTTTCTTTCCTTCTTTTTTGATAGTTTCTGTTAGTTCTGCATCTTCAAGCAATATTATTGTGTCTTCCACAGCGTCTACGCTGCCATTAGTCCTTCCCAGCTCCCCACTTCTCTCGTCTCTGTGCTCACCATATCCTCCATCTTCTTGAACGTAGATATTTACGGTGATTGTTTAAGAGGCCCCCAATCTGCCACACACATCCTGGCCACCTTACCTCCCCAAACTCCAGAGTCTATCTCCTGGGCTCACTGGGGCCTCTGGGCTCTGCTTGAGCTTGGGCTTCCCACAGCACAAGCCCTCCAAATAGGGAGCTGGACCCCCGTTTGCATCTTTTCCCTCAGGGTTCTCTGTGTTGCACTGTTGGAACATCATTGTTGAATATATCGTGTCCAGTTTTCTGACACTTGTGTGTCAGCCCTGTTCTTCACTTGTCTTGTGTCATCTCTTTCATCCTACCTCTGTCTCATCAT